GGGAGCCAGAAACCCCATGAGGCCGGTGGTCGGTAAAGGTGGGTGGGAGCAGAGCGTCTGCGGAGGTGATTTCCGTCCTGGGAGGATGGGGGCTCCCCTCCAGGAAGGGAATGACCACGGGGCACCCAGATGAAGGGGCTGAGAAGGCCTTGGAGAGGACAGGAACAGCCCGGGCGAAGGCGGCCTGGCGGGGCAGATGGGAGGGCGGTGGGGGTCTCAGCGGAGGGGCACCTCCCGTGATCAGAGCGGGCCCCAGGGAGACCAGGCGGCGGGGATGGGAGGGCAGACCGCTTATCTCAGCCCTCGGCCTCCAGGGAGGGAGTTTCCGGAGATTTCGCCCAATCTCCAGCCTGGGTTTAGGCCTCCTGTGGGTGCATGGTGGGCGGCTGATTTCAGAGCTCTCTGGTCGACGTTTCAGAGGGGCAGGGTTTCAGCCACAGAACCCAGGTGAGAATCAAGGCCTGGGTTTGCCATGGGGTGTGCTGTGGCCCAGCAGTTCAACTCAGGATCTGGCCCACAAGGGGGGCCTGGACACCACCATGGGCAGCCTGGACACCGTCCCCTGCTTTCCCTTCCCTGGGGCCTCGGCCAGCTGGCCAGGGCGGGACGTCCCCCGCAGGGGAGCGGAACCGGGGGCCAGAGACCCATAAAGCCCAGGCCGCCTTTACTGCCGGCTTTGTTACTGGCTGCCCACAGCAACGGCCATTAGAGCCGCCTCCCCCGCCAGCAGCTGGGGCCCCCGCAGGTCCTCCCTTTACTGCCACACATCAGTGCCCCGGCCCCACGGGGGTCTGACCGTGCCTCGCCATCAGCCCAGTTCACCCACCATTTGGCCTGGGGTTTAATGGCTCCCCCCCTCCAACCCCAACCCTGGCTGGTCCTACACGGGGCAGCTGATTGCTGCCGGGCGCCTCAGTTTCCCCACCCGGGATGTGAGGGTTGCTGGGGCTCCAGGTGCTTAGGGTAAAGCCGCTGTGTTTTCTCACACACTCTCCTTGACAGGAGGGGAAACTGAGGCAGGAGGTGTGGTGAGGTTTCTTATAGGGGCTGTGCTGGGGAAGGGGGGGTCCAAGCAGGGTAGACCCTTCCAACACTGGGTCAGAATCTCAGAGGAGACGACCTCCCCCTTGCCCTGGAAGGGCCCAAGGTGTGCTGGCCTCTACCTTCACATCTTAGGGGGGCCGCCGTAACGAAGGACCTCAAACAAATGAGACCTGTTCTCCCTCCGTCCTGGAGCCCAGAGTCCAAAATGGAGGCGTTCGCAGGGCTGTGCTCCCTCCAGGGGCTGCAGGAGGAGCCTTCCGCCTCTCCCAGCTCCTGGGGGCTCCGGGTGTGGCCCCGTGGCCGGCCTCTGCCTCTGTGCGACCGTCTCCGTGTCTAAGGACCCAGCCCTTGGATGCAGGACCCACCGGCCTTCACTGTGACTTTTTCTCCATTTGATCACATCTGCAAAGGCCTTTTTCCAAGTCACGTCCTGGTCTGAGGTTCCGGGTGGATGTGAATTTGGGTGGGGGGCGGCGTTCACCCCAGGACAGCCCCAACGGTGAAACAGATCCCAGATTCTGGCAACAAAACAGACAGAACCCCAGACAGAACCCTAGATCTGGGACTCGGCGATGGACGGGGTCTCGGAGGAAAAGCGTGGAGGGAGTGGGCGGGAGCCGGCCCGGGGTCAGAGGAGGAGGCCAGGCGTGTGGCCATGTGTGCGTGCCTGTGCTCATGGGACCCACCGGCCCGGCTGGCCGGGTCTACCTGCGGGCCCCACACCCCTCGGGCAGCCGAAGGGGAAAGGCCTCGTCGTCGGCCACCATAAATCAGTGCAGGAATGCGGGCTGGCCAGTCTGGCGCTGGCCAGGGTGGGGCGGAGACAAAGACCAGGCAGCTGGACCTCGGGCAGCCTCGACCACCCAGGGCAGAGGTCAGGACTCCTGGCTGCCCCCCCAGCCCCCTCCCGGAAGCCCTCACTGAGCCTCCAGTACACAGATGGGGAAACTGAGGCCCAGAGAGGGGCGGGACGGCTGCAGGGTGGCGGGGCCCTCGGCCGCCCGGCCTCCCCAGCACCTGGGATGTCCCCGGCAGCAGGGGCTGGGCGTGGGCCTCCTTCCTGGGCCCTAATGACGGATCATCCCAGCTGAGGCCTAATTGGTGGTTTCAAGGCCCCCCACTGCCCAGCCAGCCACATTCCCCGGAGCTTAATTTGCAGCCTGGTATTTGTCGCAGCTCCTCCTCGGCAAATTGGCCCCCGCCTGAACTCCGCTTTCTAATTATCCCTGCCGGCTTTCCCCCACCCTGCCCGCCCCTGCCTGCCCGCCCAAACCTGTGGGCGGGGGGCTGGGGGACCTCCTGGCCCCTTGTACCCCAGACAGAGCCCCTTTCCCCTCTGGAAGACATTCTGGGGCTTGGTGATCTCCTTCCTCCCCAGCCATCACCCTGGCAGGCAGAGGCAGTCGGAGGCTCGGTTCACAGCTGGAGGCCGAGACCCCAGGCTCCAGGTGTGGGGAAGCCAGCGGGAGGCAGGAGGACTGGGATGGGAAGCAGAACGGGGCTCTGGCCCGAGTCCCTGACATCCCCCCAGGCTCTGGTCCCACACGCACCACTGTGCTTCAGTTTCCTCATCTGCAAAGCAGAGCCAGTTCTCAGAGCACACGCTCCTGTCCAGCCCTCAGGGCAGCCCCGGGAGGCATGCTGGTGACTGTTTGCAGTGATTTGCTGTGTGAACTCAGGCAGGCACTGTCGTAGGTTAAATTGTGTCCCCCAAAGAAGATAAGGTGGAGGGCGGTGGCTCCCGTCTGTGACCCCAGCACTTTGAGAAGGTGACGTGTGAGGATCGAGGGAGCCCAGGAGTTCGAGACCAGCCTGGGCAACATAGAAAGACCCCATCTCTACAAAAGAAAATGTGAAAACTTAGCCCTGTGTGATGGCGAGTGCCTGTGGTCCCAGCCACTTGGGCAGCTGAGGCGGGAGGATCCCTTGAGCCCAGGAGGTCGAGGCTGCCGTGAGCCATGATTGCGCCCCTGTACTGCAGCTGGGCAACAGAGTGAGACCCTGTCTCTAAAAACTAACAAACAAAAAAGACTTTGGGAGGCTGAGGCAGGCAGATCCCTTGAGGTCAGGAGTTCGAGACCAGCCTGGCCAAATGGTGAAACCCTGTCTCTACCAAAAAATACAAAAATTAGCCGGGTGCGATGGCAGGTGCCTATAATCCCAGCTACTCAGGAGGCTGAGGGGAGAGAATTGCTTGAGCCTGGGAGGCCGAGATTCCGCCACTGCACTCCAGCCTGGCCAACAGAGTGAGACTCCATCTCAAAAAAATAATAATAAAAATTACAATTAAAAAAAAAAAAAGAAATAGGCCGGGCGCGGTGGCTCACGCCTGTAATTCCAGCACTTTGGGAGGCCGAGGCGGTTGGATCACAAGATCAGGAGACCATCCTGGCCAATATGGTGAAACTCCGCCTCTACTAAAAATACAAAAAAATTAGCCAGGCGTGGTGGTGGGCGCCTGTGGTCCCAGCTACTCCGGAGGCTGAGGCAGGAGAATGGCGTGAACCCGGGAGGCGGAGGCTGCAGTGAGCCGAGATGGCGCCACTGCACTCCAGCCTGGGGGACAGAGAGAGACTCCGGCTCAAAAAAAAAAAAAAAAAGAAGAAGAAGAAAGAAAGGAAAAAGGATAGGTTCGAGCACTGGACCCCCAGTATTTGTGACGGGACCTCATTTGGAAACGAGAGACCTTACTGAAGTACAGTCACGTGTTGACGTGAGGTCAGCCTCAGACCGCAGATAAAACGGTGGTCCCACAAGCTTAGAATTCCATATTCCTCGTGCACCTTTTCCGTGTCCAGCTGTGTCAGACGCACAAACAGTCACCGTCACGTTGCCGTTGCCTGCGGGACCCAGGACAGCCACAGATTCGTATTCCAGGAGCGCTGGCTGGGCTGTGCCTGTGCCTGGGTGTGTGGGAGGCCCCACCCGTGAGGTGCGTGTGACTCAGTCTTTGATGTTCACACTGACGAAATCACCAACAGACACATTTATCAGGACGCGTCCTACACGAAGACAGAGGCAGCGGCCGGAGCGACGTGGCCACAAGCCCAGGAGCCTGGAGCCCCCAGAAGCCGTGAGAGGCAGGAAGGTTTCTTCCTGGGAGGCTTCGGGGGGAATGCAGGCCTGCAGATGCACCTTTTGTTTTGTTTTGTTTTTAGAGACAGGGTCGCGTTCTGTCACCCAGGCTGGAGTGCAGTGGTGCGGTCTCGGCTCACTGCAGCCTCCACTGCCCAGGCTCAAGCAATCCTCCCACCTCAGCCTCCCAAGTAGCCGGGACTATAGGCATGAGCCACTCCACCTGGGTAACTTTTTGTATTTTATTGTAGAGATGGGGTCTCACTGTGTTGCCCAGGCTGGTCTTGAATTCCTGGACTCAAGCCATTCACCCGCCCTGCAAAATGCTGGGATTACAGGCGTGAGCCGCCACCTTGCAGAGAAATTGGTTTTGGACTGCCGGGCTCCAGGACCGCGGGAGAATAGATTTCTGTTGTTTTAAGCTGCAACGTGTGGCTGTAGGGAGTCGAGGATCGATTTGAGATGAGGTGGCCCTAAAGCCAGCAGGCTGGTGTCCTGAAAAGAGGAAAGAGAGACGGGGAGAGGGTCTTGTGGAGACGGAGGCAGAGACTGGAGCGCTGCGGCCACAAGCCAGGACGCACCTTGATCTGGGGTTCCCGGGCCCCTGGACCCGGAGAGGACACCGTCTGTCGTCCCAGGCCGCCTGCTTTCTGGGGCCTCTGGGAAGCTCGTTCACCAGCATTTCTGTCTCGCAGCCCTTGTGGCTCTTCACCTGCCCAGCGGGGCCTCCGGCTCTGTTTCGGCTCTAGCAGCGGCTCGGGGGTCCTAGGGGTGGCAACCCCTGCTCCTGTCCTCTTGGCCTGGCCTCCAGCGCAGGGGGGACGTGGTTCCCACACCTGAGCTCTGGCACCAACTAACCCATCCCCTCTCCGCCCTCACAGCTCTACGAACTCGACGGGGACCCCAAGAGGAAGGAATTCCTGGATGACTTGTTCAGCTTCATGCAGAAGCGAGGTGAGCCCTCTGCTCTCACCCCCCCGGAGGGAGGTCACAGAAACGGGGCTGTAGGAGGGGCCCTATTGGCTTCAGGTATGTTGGGGTGGTAGTGAGCTCCCCGTGGCTGGAGGCATCCAAGGCTCCTAAATCAGGAGGGACTTCAGGGATGTCTTGGGGGGAAGCATATCCTGCCATGGGGGTTTGATGCGGGAGGCACGCCTGTGAGTCTAAGGGGTAGGCCCCCTGGTGGGGGACGGGGCAGTCTCAGGGCCCCAACCCAGAACAGACAGTCCAGGCCGTCTCCTTGGCATCCAGGGTACAGTGAAGTGGGGGGTCCCCGCTACTGGGTACTAGGGGAGTGGAGCCAGCCTCTGTGTTTGGGGAGTGGGGTCAGATCCAGGCTGGCCAGGTGGGGGCAGGTGCGGCAGGACAAAAGCCCCCAGCCCACCGCGAGGCGGCTTAGAGTCTAATGATCTCATGGCATTTGAGTCCTGGCCCCCTCCCCTCCTCCCACGAGGGCCTCAGTTTCCCCATCTTTAAAAATGGGCCACAAACAGTCCCTGCCCAAAACTCAGTGGCCAGCAGGTACCCCAGACGTGCTGAGTGCAGGGCTGCTGTTTACTGTGCGCACTTATTGGACACCAACGGTATACCAGGCCTCGGCCGCTTGTACACTGCTCTGTGCCCCTGAAGTCTCCTGGCCTGGGGAGGGCAGGTCTGGGCTGGTGTCCAGGTGGGGAAACTGAGGTCCAGACACAAGACAGACTCAGAGACGACCAAGGGTAGCCAGAATGTCCCCAGCGGCCATTCCCAGGCCTCACGCCAGCTTAGAGCAACTACAGGGCAAAGAGAATGTGGCCAGGGTTTCCATCTTGCCTCCAAGTCCTGGTTGGCCAGCGAGCGGCTAGGAGCGTCTGCCGCCAGGTAGGAGCCGCTCCAATCCCCTGGACACTCCTCTAGGGCAGGGAGCTAGCTCCGATCCCCACTGTTCAGACCCCACTGTTCAGACGGGGGAGGAGGTCTCGGGGCCCACAGAGGCAGGAAGGCGTGGGGCAGAGGGCTCTGTCCCTGCACTTGGGGCCATGCCGGGGCCGTCGTAGGCGCCCGCTGTGTCCCAGCCTCCGCCCACCCCTCCCCTGGCTTCTATAAACACAGGCCCCAGACCCGCCACTGCCAGCCGCCCGCCCGGAAGGGAAGGAGAAGGAGGAGGGCTGTGGGCCCCCCGGCCCACACTGCCCAGCAGCCTCCGAGTTAACCCCTCCCGTGCTGGGAACAGAGGATCCAGACCTGGGACCTGGGCGGGGGCCTCTCCTGTGTTATCCTCCAAGCCCAGCCTTGACCAGGGCCCACTGCCCCCCATGAGGCTGGACAGATCCTCCCCATGACCCTTTATCATCCCGTTCACACCTGCTCAGCCCTGACCACTCTGCTGTGGGGCTCCAAGCTCCCGGGTCCAAAGCCAACCCGTTTTGCTGTTACCCATGCCTGGTACCTTGCTGGTGTCATGGGCGTACTTAGAAAGCACGGTGGGCCGGGCGTGGTGGCTCAAGCCTGTAATCCCAGCACTTTGGGAGGCCGAGACGGGCGGATCACGAGGTCAGGAGATCGAGACCATCCTGGCTAACACGGTGAAACCCTGTCTCTACTAAAAATACAAAAATCTAGCTGGGCGAGGTGGCGGGCGCCTGTAGTCCCAGCTACTCGGGAGGCTGAGGCAGGAGAATGGCGTGAACCCGGGAGGCGGAGCTTGCAGTGAGCTGAGATCCAGCCACTGCACTCCAGCATGGGAGACAGAGCGAGACTCCGTCTCAAAAACAAAAAAAAAAAGAAAGCACAGTGAGGGCGGGGTGTCATGGCTCACGCCTGTAATCCCAGCATTTTGGGGGACCGAGGCATGTGGATCACTTGAGGTCCGGAGTTGGAGACCATCCTGGCCAACATGGTGAAACCCCGTCTCTACTGAAAATACAAAAATTGGCCGGGCATGGTGGTGCGCGCCTGTAATCCCAGCTACTTGGGAGGTTGAGGCAGGAGAATTGCTTGAATCCAGGAGGCAGAGATGGCAGTGAGCTGAGATTGCACCACTGCACTCCAGCCTGAGCGACAGAGCAAGACTCTGTCTTTAAAAAAAACAAAAAACAAAAAAAAAGCACAGTGAGGCTGGGTGAGGTGTGGCTCACGCCAGTAATCCTAGTACCTTGGGAGGCCAAGGAGTGGGGATTGCTTGAGCCCAGGAGGTCGAGGCTGCCCTGAGCTATGATTGCATCACTGCACTTCAGCCTGGGTGACAGAGTAAGCCCCTGTCTCAAACAAACAAACAAAAAGCAAGCATGGTAGGCTGCTCATGAGTGTGGATGAGATGGAGGCGCCTGGCACATGGCGCCGTGAGGGTTGGTGTCCAGCTTTACCTCCCTCTCCAAGCTGGGAATTCCTACAGGACAGGAGCCAGCGAGCTCCTATGCATCCCTCAAAACCCAGCCTCAAAGCTCCCTCTTCCTTGCCTTCCTCCTGGAGCTTCCCGCTCTGTAATGGGGACCCTTGGAGCTGAGAATCTGTCAGGTGAACTCGCCTGTCACCCTAGACTCCACAATCTACCTCTCCTTCACTCCAGACAGAGGGAAAAAAATTTTTTTTTTTTTTTCCTGTTTCACAAAGTAAAAACCTCCAACTAAATTTCTCAGAATTCTCTGGGGGCTGGAAGTGAGGGAGGGGTCCTGACCGCACCCCCTGCCCCTCAGCAGCAGCCCCTGGACCACCTGACCTGCTGTTCCCTGACAACCTCCCCGCCCTTCCTTATCTGGGCCCCAGATGGGCCCTGCTGATGCTCCCAGCTGCTTCTGTAAACATCCTCCTCCCACCACTGCAAAGCCAGGGCGCAGCCCTGGGAACCAACCCTCTAACCCTCTGCTGCGATCCTTTTTTTTTTTGAGACAGAGTTTTGCTTTTGTTGCCAAGGCTGGAGTGCAATGGCAGGGCCTCAGCTCTCTGCAACCTCCATCTCCCGGGTTCAAGCGATTCTCCTGCCTCACCCTCCCAAGTAGCTGGGATTACAGGTGCCCACCACCACGCCCGGCTAATTTTTGTATTTTTAGTAGAGACGGGGTTTCTCCATACTGGCCAGGCTGGTCTCGAACTCCTGACCTCAGGTGATCCTCCCGCCTCGGCCTCCCGAAGTGCTGGGATGACAGGCGTGAGTCCCACGCCCAGCCTGATGCCGTTCCTTTTGCTTTGCAAACTCTGAGGCCTGAACTGATGTCCCCAGTGAGGCCGGACGGAGGCTCTGGGAAAGTTTCCAGGCTGATCGTGCAGCTAAAACCCGGTGTGGCTCCTCTCTCTGAGGCTGTAAAACGGGTTTCAGGTGGGGTCGGATCTGAGGCCCATCTTCTTCCAACCCGGGATCTCCTCCATTCACTGGGGGTTTTGCAACCTGGGAAGGGCCTGGAAGTGGCCGAGGGTGGTGGTTCCGGAAGCTTCTTCCGGGGGTCCCAGGGGTGGCAGGCCTTGTCCAGGCAGAGGGCCGGCCGCTCACTCAGGGCTGCACTGGCTCTCCAGCCAGTCACATCACAGAACCACCGATGTCCACGTCCCCATCCCCAACGGGGCGATGGGCGTCCCCTCCCACTCCATGGTAAGTGGGCAGCAGCTGTGGCCTGGGCCACTTGCCCTCACTGGTCTTCACTGAGCGCCTACTGTATGCCGCTGGGTGCCGGGACCCCACGTAGGCAGAACATGGAGCGGGGGCCACAGACAGTACACAATTGATCTCCTAAGCGCAGAATTTCACTGACCGGACGAGAGGTTTAAGTGGGGCTTGCCTACTGTCAGGCCAGGGAGAGGCTGGGCAGAGGTGGAGCTGACATCTGAAGCCAGAGGCTCCGGTGCAGGGGCAGCCTGGGAGAGCCCTGGAGGGGGCGGGTGGGGCTGGAAGGGTGGGGAGGGGCCCTGTCTTCAGCCAGCTCCAGGAGATGAGGTTGCAGGATCCTGAGTCAGCCCAGCCCCGTCTTCTTCCTGCGCCAGCCCACCCACCGCCCTTCCCCTGCCTGAGCTGATCCTCCCTCTTTCCCACCCTGGCATAGCACAGCCCACAACCCTCTCCTCCTGGGCTAGCCCACCCCCCCATGCCGGGGCTAGCCCATCCCCTTCCCCTCCCTAGGCCAGCCCACAGCCCTCCATTCTCCAAACTCCAAATCAGGTATGCCAAGCTTTCCCCCTCGCCTGCCTGAGGCTGCAGAGTCCCTGTCAGCGTGGAGGGAACAGGCCTGAGGCTGCAGAGTCCCTGTCAGCGTGGAGGGAACAGGCCTCTGGAAACCCAGGCAGAGTTGTTTTGGCAGCTGCCGTGGTGGGTGGCGTGGAGAAGGAATAACAAAGATCCGGGCGTCTCCCGTACGTCCCTCCTCTCAGTAACCCTCCTCCCGAGGGCTGCGTTGTCCCTAAGCCGAGGTTACTGGTGGGTAAACTGAGGCAGAGCTGCCCCCTCGGTGCCCTCTTGAGCAGCAGTTCCCAACCTGGATGATCCTGCACCCACAGAGGACCCTGGGTAACGTCTGGAGACATCTGTGGTTGTCACAGCCTGGGCCGGGGAGTGCTCCTGGCATGGAGAGGGTGGAGGCCGGGACACTCGGCTCCCTGCAGTACCCAGGTGGCCCCCAACCTCCCTCTCGCCCCTGCCCCCAGGGACGCCTGTGAACCGTATCCCCATCATGGCCAAACAGGTCCTTGACCTGTTCATGCTGTACGTGCTGGTGACGGAGAAGGGCGGCCTCGTGGAGGTCATCAACAAGAAGCTATGGCGCGAGATCACCAAGGGCCTCAACCTGCCCACGTCCATCACCAGTGCGGCCTTCACCCTGCGGACCCAGTGAGTGGCGGGCGGCTGTGCCCAGGTCGGGCCAGGGCACTCAGCAGCCAGTGCAAGTGGCTCCCTGCAGAAGAGGGAGGGCGTGGTGGGCAGCCGCAAAGGGCACAGGGCCACACTGTGCATCCAGGGCCTGAGAGCATCAGGTAGGGGTGCGAGGACCACACAGGCTCTGGGGTTATGCAATCAGGGGCCATTGCGAGGAACAGCATTGAGATGGAGGGAACAGCATGGCGAAGGCCCAGTGGCTCTGGGGGCTGCTGAGCAAGTCCAAGGGAGGAGCCAGGGATGGTGGTGCCACAGTGGGGTTTACTTTGTACTGAAGGTCAAAGGGAGCCACAGGGGTGATCTGGGTGCCATCCTCTTCCCTCGTCCCACCCACAGATACATGAAGTACCTGTACCCCTACGAGTGTGAGAAGCGGGGCCTCAGTAACCCCAATGAGCTCCAGGCAGCCATAGACAGCAACCGACGGGAGGGCCGGCGCCAAAGCTTTGGGGGCTCCCTCTTTGCCTACTCGCCAGGTGGGGCGCACGGCATGCTCTCCTCACCCAAGCTGCCCGTGTCCTCCCTGGGCCTGGCCGCAAGCACCAACGGCAGCTCCATCACCCCCGCCCCTAAGATCAAGAAAGGTAAGGGCCTGCATGGGGCCTGGGGCGTGTTCCCAACTGAGCTTCAGCCTGGCTGGCTGACCTTGGGGGATACCTCTTCCCCTCTCTGGGTAACCAGGATGAAAAACCCTATAGTTGGCATGGAAAAGGGCTTCCAATCTACCAGTCTTCTGCCCATGGCAGACATTACCAATCCATCACCGCTTTTCTATCCCACACAGATGGCAGGCAGACATTGCTAATCAATCTGTGTTTCCAGTCCTGTGGCCAAGGCAGACATTACTAATTGATCACTGTTTTTCCAGTCTACACTGAGGCAGGCATCATCAGTTGATCAGTTTTCCCTCCCACTGAGCCTTTGTACCCTCCATAACACAGAGGTACCAACAGCATATGCAGCAGTGTGGCCTCAGTTTGCCTGAGTTCCCATTTCTCATCTGGGCAACATAGTGAGAACCCATCTCAAAAAAAAAAAAAAAAATTAGCTGGGCGTGGCAGCGTTCACCTGTGGTCCCAGCTACCCAGGAGGCTGAGGTGGTCAGATCGGTTGAACCCAGGAGGTCGAGGCTGCAGTGAACTGAGATTACACCACTGCACTACAGCCTGGGCAACAGTAGTGAGACCCAATCTAAAAAAAATTTGTTTAGGCCAGGCACGATGGTTCAAGCCTATAATCCCAGCACTTTGAGAGGCTGAGGCAGGCAGATCACTTGAGGTCAGGAGTTTGAGACCAGCCTGACCAATATGGTGAAACCCCGTCTCTACTAAAAATACAGAAATTAGCCAGGTGTGGTGGCGTTTGCCTGTAGTCCCAGCTACTTGGGAGGCTGAGACAGGAGAATCACTTGAACCTAGGTGGCAGAGGTTGCACTGAGTCGAGGTCACGTCACTGCATTCCAGCCTCGGCGACAGAGTGAGACTCCATCTCAAAAAAAAAAAAAAAAATTAGCTGAGTGTGGTGGGCGCCTGTAATCCCAGCTATTCGGGAGACTGAGGCAGGAGAATCACCTGAGCCTGGGAGGCGGAGGTTGCAGTGAGCTGAAATCACGCCACTGCCCTCCAGCCTAAGCAACAGAGCAAGAATCTGTCTCAAAGAAAAAAAAAAAAGAAGGTGCATGTTCCTGCCTCGAGTAAGGCAGTGCCCAGCCCCTCCTGGCCACAAATTCCCCTTCTTTCCTACCTAGAGGAGGACTCAGCCATCCCCATCACGGTCCCTGGCCGCCTGCCTGTCTCCCTGGCAGGCCACCCTGTGGTGGCAGCCCAGGCAGCAGCTGTGCAAGCAGCAGCCGCCCAAGCAGCTGTGGCCGCACAGGCAGCCGCCCTGGAACAGCTGCGGGAGAAGCTGGAGTCTGCGGAGCCTCCTGAGAAGAAGATGGCCCTGGTGGCTGATGAGCAGCAACGGCTGATGCAGCGGGCACTCCAGCAGAACTTCCTGGCCATGGCGGCCCAGTTGCCCATGAGCATTCGGATCAACAGCCAAGGTACTGCCCTGGTGTCCAGACCCGCTATGCTTCCTGGTTGTGTCACACAGTGAGGGCCTGGGAGCCTACATATGTAAAGAGTGCCAACAAATCAGTAAGAAAAAAAAAGAGGCCGGGTGCAGTGGCTCGCACCTGTAGTCCCAGCACTTTGGGAGGCCAAGGTGGGTGGATCACTTGAGGTCAAGAGTTTGAGACCAGCCTGGCCAACATGGTGAAACCCCGTCTCTACTAAAAATACAAAAGTTAGCTGAGTGGTGGTGGGTGCCTGTAATCTGAGCTACTCAGGAGGCTCAGGCAGGAGATTGAACCCAGGCGGCGGAGGTTGCAGTGAGCCGAGATATCATACCATTGTATTCCAGCCTAGACAACAGAGTGAGACTCCATCTCAAAGAAAAAACAAAAACGGGGGGGTGCTGGGGGACTGGGCACGGTGGCTCACTCCTGTAATTTTAACACTTTGGGAGGCCGAGGCGGGTGGATTACCTGAGGTCAGGAGTTCAACAGCAGCCTGGGCAACATGGAGAAACCCCGTCTCTATTAAAAATACAAAAAATTAGCCAGGTATGACAGCGCACCCCTGTAGTCCCAGCTACTTGGGAGGCTGAGGCAGGAGCATCACTTGAACCGTGAGGTGGAGGTTGCAGTGAGCCGAGATAACGCCACTGCAAACAAGAGCAAAACTCCGTCTCAAAAAAAAAAAAACTGGTTGGGCACAGTGGCTCACGCCTATAATCACAGCATTTTAGGAGGCTGAATGGGAGGACTGCTTGAGCCCAGGAATTTGAGATCAGCCTGAGTAACCCAGTGAGACATCATCTCTACAAAAATTAGCTGGGCGTGGTAGCACGCTCCTGTAGCCCCAGCTACTCGGGAGGCTGAGGTGGGAGGATCACTTGAGCCCAGGAGGTCGAGGCTGCAATGAGCCATGATTGCACCACTGCACTCCAGCCTGGGTGACAGAGCAAGACCTGGTCTCAAAAACAAGGTTAAAAAAACAAAGCAGGCCAGGCACGGTGGCTCAAGCCTGTAATCCCAGCACTTTGGGAGGCCGAGACAGGTGGATCATGAGGTCAGGAGATCGAGACCATCCTGGCTAACACGGTGAAACCCCGTCTCTACTAAAAAATACAAAAAACTAGCCATGCGAGGTGGTGGGTGCCTGTAGTCCCAGCTACTCGGGAGGCTGAGGCAGGAGAATGGCGTAAACCTGTGAGGTGGAGCTTGCGGTGAGCTGAGATCCGGCCACTATACTCCAGCCTGGGCGACAGAGTGAGACTCCGTCTCAAAACAACAACAACAACAACAAAAAAAAAAAAAACAAAGCAGAGTATGGACAAACACACTTATTGAACAAATAAATACTGAGCACCTACTGTGTGCACTGGTGACAGCATGAGTGTGAGAGACACTGTCTACACCTTGTGAAGCTAAAATCTAGTTGGCAAGACAGACAGAAAACAGAACATGCCACAGGTGTCTTTGTGATCAGAAATGGCAGTTTTGGCCGAGCGTGGTGGCTCACGCCTGTAATCCCTGCACTTTGGGAGGCCAAGGTGCATGGATCATGAGGTCAGGAGATCGAGACCATTCTGGCTAACATAGTGAAACCCCATCTCTACTAAAAATACTAAAAAAAATTAGTCGGGTGTGGTGGTGGGTGCCTGTAGTCCCAGCTACTCGGGAGGCTGAGGCAGGAGAATGACTTGAACCCTGGAGGTAGAGGTTGCAGTGAGCCGAGATCATGCCACTGCACTCCAGCCTGGATGACAGAGCAAGACTCCGTCTGAAAAAAAAAGAAAAAAGAAATGCATTTGTTCTTCTTCCCACAGCCTCCGAGAGCCGCCAGGACTCCGCTGTGAACCTCACAGGCACCAACGGCAGCAACAGCATCAGCATGTCCGTGGAGATCAATGGCATCATGTACACAGGTAGGACCCCTGAGGCCATGCGCTGCCTGGACCTTTCCTCTCCCACCGTGAACTCAGGGCCCTGGGTTGCTCCTGGTCCCACCTGCTCGAACCAGCTGTGCGGGCAAGTAGGGCACGACCAGGGGCTTTGCGGGATAAACAGTCAAGGCTGATGGAGAGGATACCGTCGTTCACCTGGCGCCGTGCTCAGCCCAGAGGGGGTCATCCACAGATACATATTCAGTGTGACGCTGGATGGATCACATTCCTAGTTTATTTATTTATTTTTATGAGATGAAGTCTTGCACAGACATGCACCAGCAAACCTGGTTAATTTTTAAATTTGTTGTTGCTCTTTAAATTTTAAATCGCTTTGTTGCTCAGACTGGTCTTGAACTCCTGGGCTCACGCAGTCTTCCTGCCTTGGCCTCCCAAAGTGCTGGGATTACAGGCGCGAGCCACCACACCCGGCCAATCCCAGCATTTTCGGAGGCTGAGGAGCAAAGAATATGTAAGCCCAGGGGTTAGAGACGTTGAGGCTGCAGTGAGCTGTGATGATGCCACTGCACTCCAGCCTGGGCCACAGACCGAGACCCTGTCTCTTGAAAAAAAATTTAATGAATTTATTATTTTTTTAAATTTTTAATTTTTGTGAGTACATAGCAGGTATATATATTCATGGGTTTTATGAGATGTCTTGATACTGGCATCCAATGCCTAATAATCACATCAGGGTAAATGAAGTAACAAAAAAATTTAATCTAGGCTGGGTGCAGTGGCTTACGGCTATCTATAGTCCCAGCACTTTCGGAGGCTAACACAGGAGGATCACTTGAGCCCAAGAGTTTGAGACCAGCCTGGGCAACATAGTGAGACCCCATCTCTCCTAAAAATACAAAAATTAGCCGGGCGTGGTGGCACACAGCTATAATCCCAGCTACTCTGGAGACTGAGGGGGAGGATC